TGATGATCCCCAGAGACACATACGCACGATATAAGCAGAGCAATGTTAACAGCTCCCGGGTGACAAACTAAAAAATAAAAAAACCGTAAAAACCATAAAACACACGAGCTAATTTGGTTGCCCATGAATTTGCCAGTCACTACAAGTGAGACATGATGATGCTGGGATCTTGACTACTGTTCTTATAACTGCCAAGCATGTTGTCCAACTCTCTGGCAAACCTGTTCATAGCCTTGGGTGGCAAGCACATAAGAACAACTCTGCCATCCTCTCCTTTATTATTGGTAGATCCAACAGAGAAACTCACTCCAGGAAGTGGCCCAAGGCCAGCCTCAGCCAGACCAGCATACACAGCCTTGCCCCACCCAAAATTAACATTTCTAAAGCCAACACGCGACAAGTCTGATATCATCCACGATCTCTCTGATGTAAAACAAGGTCGTCCTCTTGTCACCAAAAGATCAGCCATGGAGTGCACATACTCTTCATTCACTTCAGCCTTGGCTTTTTTCACTAACTCCAAGGCATATCCCAATGGACTCTCACAAAGTTTCCCCGCAGTGGCAACTGCAGCTGGATACACAAAGGCATTACCATAATAACCAGTAGGTATTGGAGGGTTAAACCTACCTCGGCCATAACGTGCATTTACGATGAGCAACGCGCGAACATCATCGTCTGGATCTAGCTGCAGAGCCTTAGTGCGGCAACGCCAGAGACAAGCTGTGAGGACCTCAAATGTTGTAGATTGCCTAAGGTGACGAGGAGTGAGACGTCGAATGGCAGATATCTCAGTTGGCCCAAAGAAGAAAGATTGATGGGCTATGTCTGTTAAGGGAATGGTGGCGCCAGCCACTTCCTCGAACTCATGATGGGTGCAAGTAACACGTGGCGGGTTCCTTGCACTTAGGATCTCTCTGTGCCAGACAGGAAGAATGGAGGGTTCACTTTCCCCGTTAGCTATTTCAGCCAGAGCATTCATGAACTGGAAAATACCTGGTCCGTCGGTCACGGTGTGATTCATGCGAACGGCGAATACAAAACCTCCACACCTGAGACGTGTTACCTGCGGTTTATAAACTTCTCTTAGCATGTCTTGATATATAGAAAATTGTTAGGTAAAGGAAATAACAGAAGACCTGTATAAGTAAGAGGGGACAATGAAGGATTCCTTCAGAACCAGGAACATTGTAAAGGAGGTCATTGAAGCATGGAAATGGAGGTTTAAGATTGTCACCAAACTGAGCAAGGGTTACATCTGCATCAGCTTCAATAAAAAGAACGCCTTTTCCATTACACTCGACAAAGAGTTTGCGGCCAACACCTTCCCTGAGCCTACCTGCAAAGGGGTAGTAAAATACCAGTGTCTGAGCTAATGCGTCTCTGATGACTTTGACGGGGTCCTTCCCCGCCATTGAAGCCTCGTGACGGTAGAAATGTACCAGTGGAACATGGGCGCGTAAGCTGTCTTGGTCGTCCAAGTCAGACAGTAGCTTTAACTCACGAGGAGTAGGCTTTGCTGGACCTACAAGCTCTGGTTGGTGCCTCCTTACAGTAAAATTGAGACGAGAGGAAGTCGGCACAATCATAATTAATGTCTGCTTGGAAGAAAGTGGAGAATTCAACAAAAGGGAAAGGTCTTAATTTGACGTGATCTGAGTTTTCGTTTGTAGCTTGTATTTATAGTGGGACGAGTGACTGTTCAGCAGCGAGGTTTCCTTAGGATTTAAAAAAATTCCGTGCGCCCCAGACATACTGCTATGCCAACTGAAACAAACCTATCAGCCGCAGAAATTAGATGCTACAATATTACTGCCCTAACAACGCAACATACTGTAAGACAAAATCAAATTTGACTAGCTCTTCACCGTATTTAAATTCTTTTTAATATACATGCGTGTGCAAAATCAATTTCGACTTCTCATTTCAACATGTAATGTCATACTTTCCAAGTTTTATTGCTGATCAATGTAAGTTGCTTTCTGGCACTATTATTGGTACACGAACATAATTTTGACGGTCATTCTGCCTAATAAAACGGGATCACCTGTTGGATTCGTTCTTTGCCTGGACTGAGGTTTCACAATTGTTGTGATCTGCCCACAGTAACATCGTTGGTTTATAGGATTAGCTGGGTAGGTGATTATTGATATAAAATATGGTATTTAATTAAGATAATCGTTTCTCAACCCGCCTGGCCTAGATGAGCCTTCGTTGAATCTGATATCTGATATGTGCAGCGGGGACACCTAGCAAGTGGTAGAGTAGACTATTAGTCACTGTTTTTTGGGCCCCGCAGTAGACTGCTCTAATTTTGGGAGAATCCCAAAACAATATCCTTAAATTTTAAAATTTCATATCAGTTTTTTTTTATTATTTAATAACAATTCATAATATTTAAAAAGTAAATAATAATATATTTTTATAGTAATTTCTGATTGATTTTTTCTAAAGAATTTTCTTAATATTTAAAAAGTAAATAACAAATAGCTTTGCCAAAATGTGACTACCTGTTGGTTTCGCTTCTTCCTTGGACCGAGGGTTCACGATTGCTGAGCCGGAGGCTCACAGAGTTGCTGTTACATTTACATCATCCTCGGTCAATAGTAACAAATCTTAGGAAAAAAGACCCAAATAAAAAAATCTGGAAATTATGAAATTCCAACTTAGACACATTATACTTCAAAATCTAATAGCATATGATCTTGTATTTTACAAATAAAATTAAATGATTAAAAATTTTTATTTTAAACTTGTTATTGTTAGTATATTTTTTTTCATTTATTATTCGATATTGTCATTGTAGTCCATAACTTGTTAATAAATAATTTGTTATTATCACCATATTTCTTGTCATTTATTATTGTCAGTTCACGACTTGTTAATAAATTTTTGAAATAACAGCCTTTTAGTTACTTAATTACATTTGCAAAATATCGTATAAAGCACCACTTATGTGCCTGAATTGGGATTTCACAGTTTTCAGGTTCTTTTTTTTCTCATTTTTTCCAGAATTTATTTTATCAGAACACGATTTGTATAATTTTATGTTATTATCTACTTTTTTATTGTGTTAACTGTTATAAATTATATATACTAATTTATATTATGATATTAGAAAGCGATTATAGATATCAACAAAATCTAATAAATACGCAAAACCACATACTAAATTTATTTGTTTTTTAATCGAACATACTGTATTGTATCGTGTAATTATTAATAAAAAAAATCTAAAATTTGTTGTCCCTGCTAGTAATTTTCCTTGAGGTGGGGCATTAATAACGTGGCTCGGCTGAAGGCTACTCTGACCTGATGGAATTACTATCTCTATTCTTGAGATAAGATCTTATTTAATTTTTATATTGGTTCTAAATATAAGAACTCATGTCATTTTATCTCTTATATTTATTTATCTTTTTCCAAAATAATTATTCTAATAATAGTAGTTCTTGCTTATAAACCTGATTAGCAAGGATATTTTAAGAAAGATAACACTTATTTATTACAAATAACTAACTTAACTTATTTTTTTAATCTACTCAAAATAATCAACTAACTCTATATTTAGGACCGGAGGTAGTACATCACAAGCATATCCGGCCAAAAAAAAAAACTACAAGAATAGGAGGACCAGCTGTCATCTTGTAAAGGGTTGCGTTAGGGGTATGCATGAACCAAACTGGACTGGGTTTGTTATCAACCTGAAGTTTGGTCCAGTAAAAACCTCAGGCTGAAAAAGACAACCCGAGGTCTGGTCCAGTCCAGTACTAACCCGTTGTTGGGTTAGATTGAACTTAGTCCTCTGGACTGCTTGGACTCTAGGATCTAAATTTAATTTTTCTAATAAAAAAAATTTCTTCAATAAGAAGGAAGATCGTAACTTACTATATAAAATTTTGCATATATTTTAATCCAAAGTTCATCAATTTTGATCACTCCCTTTTAATTTTCCAATAATGTCATGTTTTATTAATTAATCCTCATTAATATAGATCTTATATTGTAGAAAATATATACATATGCTCATTATTTAGGAATTTAATAGATAAATCTTGATTATTTGAATAGACAAAAAACTTATATAGAAAAATTAAATAAAATTAAAATTATATAAATGTTAATTTTAAAAAAACCAGGTTAGACTGGACTGGACTAACTAGTCTGAGAGGCTAGTCTCTGGTCCAATCTAGCTTGATAAGACCAGTCCGATCCAGCCTTGTTTCGAGTCAATTTTTTCTAAACCGAATTATACCGAATCACCAAGTTTTTGCACAGTCCTAGGCTATGTAATAAACTAAACTGATAATCTATTTTTGCTAAGATGATGACATGCGTTGTCGAATACTATTATTAAGACTCCACAACAAATCTTGCACTTTAGACGACATCTTGCGCATAGCTTGAGCTAAAATTTGCAGCTATCAATATTTCGATTGACCATGATGATGATTTGGCCGTGGGCTATGTTATTTCTGGTTTGGACATTCTGCACCTAAAAGTTCATTTGAGAAACCAACTTTCCGTAAATTGTTTTATTTTTAAAATTTAGTCCCAAAAATTCCTTTTGTCATATTTATCATTTGAGAGTATTAATTGGAGAGTGTTAATTTGTTTCAACGATCTTATGCTACTTCTGAGTTCTGCCATAGATTTGAATTTTTTAATAATGACTGTAAAAAAAATGTTAGATCGAGCAGGATCTATATAACACTGAGGCGAATTGCAAGGAATTTATTTAGTTTTAACATCGTCCTTGCACTTATATTTGGCCAAAATCCAACATTGCTGCACTTATGTACTGTAAAATATAAATTAAATTCTGACGAAGATTGTAACATGTCCATTCCTTCTGACCCACTTCATTACAATACTTCACGCATAAATTATAATATAAAAACATGTCCCGAAAATCAACGAAGTTGAAAATAAACCCAAACTAAGAGACGACGGACCAAGAGTATTCCTTGCATAGTCCGATTGGCGATAATTCGCTATAACTACAGGCAAGACATGATAAATTTAGAATCTCGAACATTATCGTTGTGGCTGCTAAGCATGTTATCTATCTCTCTGGCGAAAATCTCCATCGATTTGCGCGGCAAGCAAAGTAGTGCTGTTATGCCTTCTTCCCCTTTAGCATTCTTACATGCAACGAAAAAGCTTACTCCAGGAAACGACCCAGCCCCAGCCATCGCTGGTCCAGCGTATATCGCCTTGCCCCATCCAAAATCTATATCTCTCAACCCAGAACGTGTTAAATTCGACACGATCCATGACCTTACCGGGTTAAAGCAAGGCCGTCCTCTGATCACCATAAGATCTGCCACGGATCGTATATACTCTACCGTTGCCTCACCTTTCGCCTTTTTGACCAACTCTAGGGCATACACAAGTGGACTTCTCGTAAGCTTATTCGCAGTGGTAACAGCGGCGGGGTACACAAAGCCATTACCGTAATAGCCAATCGGCAACAGTGGCGGGTTTGTTTTGCCTCTAACATTGCTAATGCACATTAGGCGAATCTCCTGGTCTGGTTCTAGCTGTAATGATATGGTGCGACAGCGCCAGAGGAATGCTGTGAACGCCTCAAACACAGTGTATTGACCATGGTATTCAGAAAACAGTTGACGGATGGCCTTTAACTTGTCAGGTCCAAAGAAGAAAGAGCTTTGGACCATAGCTTCCGGCATTTTTGCTTCTGTATCATCAGGCACTTCCGTGTACTCATGATGGGTGCATGTAACGCGAGGTGGGTCCCTTGCGTTTAGTAGCTCTCTACACCAAACTGGGGTAACTGAAGGCTCACTAGCACTCCTGGCAATCTCCGCTAAGGCTCCAAAGAATTGAGCTATACCATGACCATCCCACATGGTGTGGTTGAAGAAGTAGGCTAAAACGAAACCACCGCACTTGAGACGTGTAACCTACGATTATAAGGGGGGGGAAACATTATTAGCATGCTTGTGGAAATGCACGTAGCAATCAAGGTGCTTCTTGATCGAAAGCTGTTGGACACGGTCTTACAAATTAATAAGAAATAGAAATAGATAGTTAGATATATGCTGTATATGGACCTGAACAACTAAGGGAGGACAATTAATGATTCCTTCCAAGCCTGGAACATTATAAAGGAGCTCTTCAAAGCATGGAAATGGAGGTTGAATAGGGTCGCCGAATTGGTGAATGGTGACATCTGCGTCAGCTTCAATGAAGACGACCCCTTCCTCGTTACAATCTACCATAAGTTTGCGGCCAGGACCTTCCCTAAGCCGACCTGCGAGTGGATAGTAAAAGACTAGGGCTTGAGCAAGCGCCTTTCTGATAAGTTGGGCGGGGTCCTTTCCTTGCATGGATTGTTCGTAAGGATAAAAGAATGCCGCTGGAATTCGACATCGAAGACCATCCTGGTCATCTATGTCGGAAAGTAGCTTAAATTCATGGGGGGTGGACTTGGCGGGAGTAATTAGCTCTGGTTGGCGTCTCCTCACCGTAAACATTAGATCCGAAACAGACGGTTGAGCCATGTTATATTGCGAGGAAAAAGAATTTATGAAGAGTGGAAAAACCAAGTGTGTTTGTTACTTTAGTCACTTGGCTGTGTGGGGGATGCGTTCCTAGACTGCGTATTTATATAATGGTGATGGGGTACTAAGCAGTAACCACTTGTTATCGCATCCATAGTAGACCCCATACCATCCATCACGTGCTAATTACTAGCCAATTTTCGTGTCGTTCCAGCGGTCTTTGCTTGCCTCCCTCATCAGAGCAGACATATGTGTGTGTGTGGTGCATGTGCATGCTTTAATTGTGTAACATATGTTGATCCATTTTTTTCGAACGAAAGGAGAACTCCACTGCGGAAACAGTCCATGCTCGCACGAAACCTTGTCCGTCGTCACTGATAGAGTCGAAAACATGTTTATGGCTGTAATTAATCCAGAACTTATGTCCAAGAGCACGATGCATGAATGGGAGCTAGGATTCATGAGTATGGTAGGATTCGGTAGGATTCGGTGGGACTCATGAGAATTATATTGATCTACTACTCTTGTCGTTTTAAATGTAAATCATTTATGATATATTTAATGTTTAATTTTAATTTTGCCCTTTTTTTTTGGGAAAATTAGTCTTTTGATTTTTATAGTTTTAACTCATTTGTAACTCAATCCTATATCTTGAGTCAATACAATTCAATTCTTATAGTTTTGATTCGGTTGTAACTCAAAAGATTAATTTTTTCTTTATTTTTTATTGGAAAGAGAAAAATAATAAAAAATATGAGAATGATTTCGAGATAGAAAGAGAAAAAACTTCGATAAAAGTACAATTAAAATTTTTTATTTATTTGATATATTTCTTGATATGTAAGAATGTATTACAATAAGTAATTTATATTAAGGGCTAGAGTGATATACGTGCTATGCTGGTGATGAAAAGGAAATAACCTTGTAATTTGGTAACATAAAAGCTTTTATGTGAATAGTAGATTGCAAATTCAATTCTACTTATAATTTTACGAAGTTGGTGTCTACTTATTTATTTTTTTCAATAGAAAACACTCTATACTGACACTTTCTTTCCCCGCTGGGACTCAAAATATTCGTCCAAACCTTAATAGTAACCCATTACTTGCATTGAGAGAAAATTAGAAAAGACAGAAAACTAGAAAGGAGAATATAAGGAGAAACAAGTTTTCTTTTACTTTGATAGGAGAGAAAACATGGGAGGAAAGAAAAGTAGAGCAAAAAAAAAAAAGTGGGCCTCATGCCTTATTTTCTCTCAAATTTTCTTTCCATATATGGAGGGATTTGGGAAAGAAAACAAAATTTTCATGACTGCCCCTATCTCTCTTCCTTTCTATATTTGTTTTCTTTTATTATATTCAAAAATTTGTTCACTTTTTATTTTTATCTTAAAACAATATTTTTATTAAATAATTTGATTTTAAAACATAATAATATGAAAATATATATAAACCAAAATTACAATATTTAATTTAATTTGATTTTAAATATGATATTTTTTATAAAAACATTTTTATCATTTAAATATTTGCTATTTTTTTCTTTCTATTTTTTCTCATCCATTAAAACAACAGGGATAATAACAACTTTCTTGTATTTTTTCCTCCTTTCACGTTTTTTTTGTGTGGGTGGAGCTGGGCCTGGCCCCCGATGTTTCAGTTGGGTTTTTTTAAGGCCGGCTTCCCCATGCATAGTGCCGGGTGGGAGAGCGTGAGCCTTACAATTGAACCTGATCTAATTTATTAGTCTGGCGACATGATATAAAGGGGACACGCGTCTTCAAATAAATGGCATCCTGTCAAGTTTAAATTTGGTGGATGTATCAATAAATTATTGATTAAGATGATAAGTAGTCTCACCTCATGAGAAGAAAAACACAAGTTCGACAAAGGTTAATCTCGAGTCTAAAATGGTTTGATTTTTAATTTTGTCCTTATTTATTTTTGAAAAAATTAATCTTTTGGTCCTTATAGTTTTAACACGTTTATAGCTTAGTCCCTATACTTTGACTTGGTACGTCTCGATTCTTATAGTTTTGATTCGGTTGTAATCCAAAAAATTAATTTTTTCTTTATTTTTCATTGGAAAGAGAAAAATAACAAAAAATATGAGAATGATTTCCAGATAGAAAGGGGAAAATTTGATAGAAGTAAAATTAAGAATGTATTGCAATAAGTAATTTATATTAAGGGCTAGAGTGATATGCGTGCTATGCTGATAAAAAGGAAATAACCTTATAATTTGGTAACATAAAAGCTTTGATGTGAATAGGAGATTGCAAATTCAATCCTGCTAGTAGTTTTATATAGTTGGTGTCTACCTTTTTTTTATTTTTTTCAACAGTAAACACTCTATACTAACATTTTCTTTTCCCGTTGTGGCTCAAAATATTCATGCAAACTTTAACAGCATGGGGCTGGTTTGTAGGCCGAAGCACACTCTCACAGTATCAAGAAACAAAAAACCGAATTGGTCATTAAACTGATTAAGGTGATGAGTTAATAGTTAGTGGGTCAAGTCAGGATTAATTCGGATCAAACTAGTTATAATTAAAATAATATTATTTCACCAAAATATACAAAAATTTTACATTTAATGATAAAAATGTAATATTTAAATAAAGGGACACGAAATATCATTTTTATCATTCCAAAACCATATCTATTTTAACATAAAATTACGAAACAATAAATAGTTAAATATTTTTACTCAGATTTTATTTGCAATACGCTGGAAATATATAGCCTTGGTGATTGAAAAATGTGAGATGCATTGGATGCGTGCGTGCAGACGAAGTCATCAATTTCTCATATTCGAATGTGAAACTTTTAGGGAAAATCACTAACAGGTCTCACAGAAGGCAATTTATTACTCTGAGGTCCCACGAAATGTCAAAATCACTGACAGGTCTCAAGGGACCTCAGAGTAATATTTTCGTTTTGTAAAATGACACTTACTGCCCCTCATATTCCAGATTCACATTTGCTCTGTCATTACGATTTACAACCTCAGCAGCGACTATTAACAACCTAATGAGAAGGCGTTAACAACCCTAGCAGTATCCGTTAACAACTTACTTTATAGAATTATATAACCTCTACATAAGAGTAAATTATAACCAAATACTATAATACAACAACTTTAACACTAAAATGGGAAGCTTTTTTATATCATTAAGAATTTTAACTAGATCCAATAGGATTATAGTAATATTTTAATGCGAATATCCATTTACAATCTCAACAACGATTATTAACAACCGAATGAAAGGGCATTAACAGCCTAAGCAGTAGCTGTTAACAACTTACTTTATAAAATTATATAACCTCTGCATAAGAGTAAATTATAACCAATAGTATAATACAACAACTTTAACACTAAAATGGAAAGCTTTTTATATCATTAAGAATTTTAACTAAATCCAATAGGATTATAGTAATATTTTAATGCGAAGATCCATTTACAACCTCAATAGCGACTATTAACAACCGAATGAGAAGGTATTAACAACCTAAGCAGTATCCGTTAACAACTTACTTTATAGAATTATATAACCTCCGCGTAAGAGTAAATTATAACCAAATAGTATAATACAACAACTTTAACACTAAAATGGGAAGCTTTTTGATATCATTAAGAATTTTAACCAAACCTAATAGGATTATAGCAACATTTTAATGCGAAAATCCATTTACAACCTCAACAGTAAGTATTAATAACCTAAGGAGAATTGTTAACAACCTTAGCAGTGTCTGTTAACAACTAACTTTATCGGATAATATAACTTCTAACTATAACTAACTAGACTATAACTAAATAGTCTTAAAGTTAATCTTATATAGTTGTTAGAGGTTATATTATCCTATAAAGTCAATTGTTAATAGATACTGCCCAGATTGTCAACAGCTCTCTTTGGGTTATTAATACTCACCATTGAGGTTGTAAATGAATCTTCGCATTAAAATATTGCTATAATCCTATTGGGTTTAGTTAAAATTCTTAATGATATAAAAAAGCTTCCTATTTTAGTGTTAAAGTTGTTGTATTATACTATTTGGTTATAATTTACTCTTATGCAGAGGTTATATAATTTTATAAAGTAAGTTGTTAACAGCTACTGCTTAGGTTGTTAATGCCCTCTCATTCGGTTGTTAATAATCGCTGTTGAGATTGTAAATGGATATTCGTATTAAAATATTACTATAATCCTATTGGATCTAGTTAAAATTCTTAATGATATCAAAAAGCTTCTCATTTTAGTGTTAAAGTTGTTGTATTATATTATTTGGTTATAATTTACTCTTATGTAGAGGATATATAATTCTATAAAGTAAGTTGTTAACGGATACTGCTAGGGTTGTTAACGCCCTCTCATTAGGTTGTTAATAGTCGCTGCTGAGGTTGTAAATCGTAATGACAGAGCAAATGTGAATCTAGAATATGAGGGGCAGTAATGTCATTTTACAAAATGAAAATATTACTCTGAGGTCTCTTGGGACCTGTCAGTAATTTTGATATTTCGTGAGACCTCAGAGTAATAAATTGCCTTCTGTGGGACCTGTTAGTGATTTTCCCAAACTTTTATACTTGATAACCTCTATTCTAATTTTTTCAGGATGAAAGATGACCTACAGATTTGACAAGATGGGAAGTAGCGTGTACAGTCTACAGGGAGAGGAGTATTTTGACTTGCCGTGTCATGATGAATAGCACTCATGCATCCCAGGATGTTTCACGTTTTATGCCTTTCTCGGCCTTCTGACTAACATCAGGTGCACTACTGCAGCACGTTTCACGCTTTTTTTTTTGGGGGAGAGGTGGGCCTGGGCCCCAATGTTTCACTTGTTTTTAAGGCCGGCTTCCGCTTTCATAGCGCCAGGAGGGGGAATATGAGCCTTACAATTGAACCTAATCTAATTTATTTGTCTAGCAACATGGTACTACGGGGACACGCGTGCTTCAAATAAATCGCATCCTGTCAAGTTTAGGTTTGGTAGATA